CCCCCCCCCCGTAGCCCGTCATTGACTGTCATTGACCACCGTCAATCACCATCGACCTTCGTCGACCACCGTTGACTAGACGCTGTCAGTCGACGTTGTAACTTGGAAAACTAGTAACCCTTTTCCCGTCTGTGGGATAAGGGATCTTTGTAATAATCAACATATAGTGGATTTTTATAACTGGGCCAGACCCCGTTATTTTTTCCCTTTACAAATTTTCCACATAAAAACTTCTGGTGTCATCACAGCTTATTTCTTTTTCATCTGTGTGCGTGCTGAATTCTCATACAATGCTAAGACGATAATCTTTTACTCTACCGCTGCGGACTTTCCAGCAAGCATCAGTTATAAATATAATGAAAATTAAAGAGTGAAGTATGTATTTGACTCGTTTATTATTAGAGCTGAAAAAATTATTTATATTTGACTCACTTGATTAACAAATGAATCAAATATAAGCTACTTAGTAAGTCAAAAATGAATTATTCATGAATAACTAGTATTTTTGATAGCCAGTCTCATATTAACTTAACTAATTTAATTTAAAAAAATATATATATATTTTTGTTTTTTAGAAAGTAAACATAAAATATTTCTATTTTGTAAATATAAAATACAATTGATAATACTTTTTTTTTTTTTTTGGAAAATGAGGGTCATACTCAGCTTTATTATATTAAAAGAAAATCAATATACAAAAAAAGACCCAAACACAAAATACAACTCGATACCAGATAGACAGACCCTATAAAACCCTATTCTATAGGAACAAATGAAAATAGAAATTAATAAAAAGACAAAACAACCTAGCTCTACATGAAGAGAACACAAAAAACAAAACAAAGAATGACTCAAACAACCAACATGTTTAAGCTTCACTAGAAGTTCAAAATAGCAGTATATCCACAAATACAACTCCAAATGATTAACCCAGAGACCCTTTTATCATAAGCCTTCTGAAATCATAACAAAAGAAGCTAATATGAATCCACAAAAACCATTACGGTGCCATCCAGAATAGATTGTAAAGCTATCTGCTGAAACAAATCCAAATGATTAATGCAGTAATCATCTCAGCATAAGCCTTCCATGATAGCCAAACCAAATAAGGCTAATATGAATCTAAAAAAAAAGAAACGCCAAATTCTCCAATTCTACTAAATAAAGACTAGTATAGGTTGAGAGAAAGAGAAAGAAGAGCTTAGAAATACCAAACTCCACAAAAAACTATTAAGGCTCCATCTAGGAACAATGTATATATTGCGAGAAGAATATATACAAATAAATGGAAACTTAATGTATGGCTAGAATTCATCATAGCTCGAAAACCAACTCAACACAATAACTCAATGACAATCAAGTGAAGTATCCCTTAAAAACTGAAAACAATAAAGGCTTCATTAAAGTATATAAAATGGTAAAGCCCCCTTAAATTCCAACAACAACCTCTTAATACCAATAGAATTATAGTTGCAGTATCACAAATATCCAAGAAAATAACTTGAATCCAGAAGGCTAATGAAAATCAACATATATATATATATATATATATATAATTCCTTAAAAATAAATATGACAATGCAAGCTGATCTATAACAATGCAAATCCCATCTACCATCAACTATAATATCTTTAAGTACAACATTTTTAGGATAATAAGACCAACTAGAAACAACATTGTATTACTTCTCAAAAAGAGAAAAACCATAAAACTAGGGATCAAAATAGAAGATAAAAGTGTCTTATAATTAACTTTGAAAGAAGAACTAGAATTATCTTGTCTCTAAATAATTGTTCACTTACACATAAAATTAATGTTATCCATAGAATGGGTCCTAAGACCACCATAAGGCATAGGTAAGATGATAGTACTTCATGCAATAGCAATCATCTTTCTTTCACCACTATTATATATATATTATATTATTAAATAAAGAAATGATTTTTTTTCTAATGCTTTTAAGTAAAACATAAAAATGAAATCAATAATCATAATAACTTCAAATCATATATTTTTTGGGATAATTGCATACAGACCACCCGAAACATTGATATTTACAGCTTAATTACCTAGGCTTTTTTTTTGAAATACCAAATTGATGTATTTATGCATGTCACGATTAAACTATTGAGAATTTCATAAAAAATAAAAAAAATATGCGTTGGGATTTACCAAGATTTATGATATTTGAATGAAAATTTGAAAAATGAATGAAAGAGGGTGATTGATTTGTAAAAAGCAGGATTTGGGTTGGTAGATTTGATAAGTTTAATTTCACATTTATTAAAATATTTTGAAAATTAATTAAAACTTATATTTTTACCTAATTTAAAATTATTAATATTTTGAAGTCCCACTCAAATCATATTTTGGGGCTTTTACATACATATCACATTATTCCTACATATTTACACATCTAACATTTAAACATTTATATTTACATGCATACCACTTAAAGTAAGTGCGGCCGTATAATTTATTATATATATATATTCTACTTTTAGAAATTGAAAATTATAATTCACTACCAAACGAAGCTAAAGAATTTGATAAATTACATTTTATATTTATAAATATAGTACTTTTCTGGTGGAATATAACAATTGACTCATTCTTGGGCATCTAAATAAATAAATAAAAAGTTTGATGCCCACAATAAAATAATTATGGCTGCCAAACAAGCTCGTTTGTTCGCGAACAGTTCGTGTTCGGTTCGCCAATGAGTTCGTGTTGGATTCTTTCGATAAGTAAATGAGATGAACGTGAACAAAAATTTTTTAGTTCGGTTAGTTAAACGAACCAAACACGAACAGTGATGTGTTTGTTCGTGTTCGAATCGTTATTGTTCGAATATAAAATAATATAAAATAATTATATATTAAAAATTTATAAATATTATATATTTATATAATATAAGTTACATAATTAATTAATATAACATAATATATAAGTATAAAATTAAAAAACCCCAACTCTCGCATGTTCTCAGGTTCGAATACAAACTGGCTCGCCGTTCGCGAACAACTCGTGTTCAGCTTTAAGAAACGAACACGAACAGTGATTTCACGAAATATTTCGAACACGAGCTTATTTCAAACAAATTAAATTTCAAATGGACCGAACACAAACACAAACTATGTTCTTTCGTGTTCGGCTCGTTTACACCCGTAAAAATAATATTGGATTTCAATATACGAGTAGGGGCCCGCAAGTAATGACATCTTCCTTGTTTTAAGGGAAGGACGAAGAATGAGTTGTGAAGAATATACTGTTTGCACAATTTGGGACACAAAATTAAAATTGTAATTATAGTGGATTAAAAAATTTCTTACTTTAATAAGAGTAGATGCATTAATTAATCATCCAATTTATATGTAATACTTATTATTTAATAATTCATAATTTTAAGATTTTATTTTAATCAAATTTTGATATGGTAGAGCTAATAGTACAGAGAAAGAGAATACCCTTGTTACGCTCGAGTAGCTCTGCTGGACCTCCTGACTTTAGTAGCAAGTAACCAAGAAGCTTCCCGTGCTTCATCTGATTAAGCACTTCATTTTCTTCTCTCTTCTGATCAGCAGAATCTTTTATCTCAAGATACTTGGGCTCTTCAAAAGTAACTGATAAGATTTTGTCCTTGTATATCTCCATTTTAATGAAAGTAACATCCGTACTCCTGATGAACTTTTGATTCTAAAAGTCTCATAATTTGTACCCAAACTCTTTAGAGTCATATCTAATGAAAGTGCTCTTGATAGATTTCGAGTCAAGTTTACTCTTAGACCTTGTGAGAGCATGTACATATGTAAAACAACCAACTACTTTGAAGTGAGATAGATTTATCTCTTTGTCACTTGAGCTTACTTGGATAAACCAATGATGGATCGCGGTTGATCAGATACACTCAATGCTCACGGCTTTTGCCCAGACCTGCATTGGCATAAGCCTGTATGCAATTTCATATTTTTGGCATGCTCATTGATGGTTCTTTTCATGCGC